CCTTAATGTTTGGGATAATCAACAGTTTGTTTGCATCACTGCTCATGTATGTATTGAAATGTTTATTTTAGTGTAAATTTACACTACCTGTCAAAACTTTGGAATAATTAAGACTTTTTTGTGTTTCTGAATGAAGTCTCTTCTACTCACCAAGGCTGCATTTATTTGAACAAAAATACAATTAAAAACAACAAAAATGCGAAATATTATTGCGATTTAAAATAGCTGATTTCTATGTGAATATCTGTTAAAATGTAATATATTCTTGCGATGCAGCGCTGAATTTTCAGCATCATTACTCCAGTCTTCAGTGTCACATGATCTTCAGAAATCATTCTAATATGCTGATTTGTTGCTCAAGAAACATTTCTGATTATTATCAATGTTGAAAACAGTCGTGCTGCCCGATATTTTTGTGCAAACTGTGATGCATTTTATTTTTCAGGATTCACAGATGAACAGAAAGTTCAAAAGAACAACATTTGAAATAGAATCTTTTGTAACATTCTAAATGACTTGACTGTCACTTTTGATCACTTTAATGCATCCTTGCTGAATAAAAGTGTTCATTTTTCTACTGACCCCAAACGTTTGAACAGTAATGTATGTTTTGGAGTGTCATGTTTATTGTGGTCTTTCCAGTATTTCCAGCGACATTGACTCTAGCGACACACCATAAGAAATATGAATTTTAACGAGTCATTCAGAAATACTCCTGTACTCAAGAGTTTCTGGTTTGAGTCAGTCTGATAAATCCTTCACTGAATGAATTTATTGAATCTGTCAGAGAGAATACTGAACATCTGATTTGTTCAAATGCAAGTCATTGTAACTTTCAGTGATATCCGTTTAGAAATGAAGCAAGTTTTGCTACTAAAGGTTTGTAAATGAAATTAATTACTTACTAGCCTTTAACTGACCCTTATTGTTTGCATAAAAATGATGCCCAACAGTTATAAATAAAACGTTATTTATTTATTTTAATTATTTTAATTGTTTTTATTTTAAAATTATTTATTTTAATTAAAAAAAAAATTACATTTTTTTAAATAATTTTTTTATTTGAGTTCTTTAATTTATTTATCTCTTTAGTTGCAATGTTTGTAACTTTTAAAAGAAAAAGAAAAATCTAAATGTATCAAATTTGTGTGTACCAATTTTTTATTTTTTATTTTTATTTTTTTATCACATTTCCGTAAGTTGTATATCATGATATGCACATCACTGTTGACTATACATTTTTAGGAAGAAATGTGATATGAAATTCACTACTTAGAATTGAACTAGCTAGAACTAGTTTAGCCTGTGGTCATATAAACAGGTCTCCGGTATCCTCGTTTAGTTAACTAGTTAAAGTCTGTGTCTTTTTTTAGAGGCAGGTTAACCAGCACAGTTATCTGCTGATGTAATTTGCGGGGATCCCTGGAGTAAAAACAGCGTCTCTGTGTTTAATTTTGGCCTTACGCTACGTTTGTTAATCTGATTTTCTTCAACACGCGCCAGAATTTCTCATATCCTTGTTTAGAGCGAGAGGTCAAAGGTTGTTTTCACTCTTTCTGACTCTCTGAAGGCTATTTCTGCTACTGTACCTTTAAATATGTAAGCTCTGTGATGTTTCTGAATTGTGAATATGTTCATTATATAAATGTGGGTGGCCATATGTTAATGAGCTCATTGGTGGCTGTTTATGCAGTTTAGTTCTGATAACTAATGTTCATAGTGCAACTAGTCAGTGTTATTTTAGTATTATTTACGTACAATTATAGTATTTATTAATGTTTTGAGTTTGCTGTTATTTTTATGCTTTCATTTTAATTTTTAATAGTGATTTTGTAGTGTGCAAAATATTTGTTTTTATGTAATGTATTCATTTATGTACTATCATAGTATTTATTGACATTTTGAGTTGGCTTTTATTCATGTATTTTCAGTTTTCATTTTAATTGTGCAAAATAATATATATTTTTTTACATTAATTTATTCACTTATTTATGTATTATTATAGTATTTATTCATATTTTGAGTTAGGTTTTATTCATGTATTTTCTGTTTTAATTTTAATTTTAATTGTGCTAAATATTTATTTTTTAAGTTAAGTTATTCACTTATTTGTGTACTACTATAGTATTTATTAATATTTTGAGTTTGAGTAATTTTGTTTGTATATTTGTTTTTTAATTATGTATATTATTAATTTAGTTATGTACTATTTTAGTATATATTAATATTTTGATTATTTTATAATAGAATTATAACAGATAGAATTTTATATTTTCAGTTTTCGTTTTGTTTTTTAATTTTAGTCATTTTGTAATGTGCAATATATTTGTTTGTTTTTTAAATCTATCGTTTATGCATGTCCTATTAAAATATGAATTAATATTTTGAGTTAGCTTTTATTTTTATTTTTCATTTGAATTTTACATTTGGCTAGTAATTTTGTTGTGTGCAAAATATTTGTATAAATTAATTATGTATATTATTAATTTAGTTATGTACTATTTTAGTATTTATTAATACTTTGAGTTAGTTTATTTTTTATATGTTTAGTTTTTAAAAATTTTAGTCATTCTGTAATGTGCAATATATTCGTTTGTTTTAAAAATGTATAATTTATGCATGTACTATTAAAATATGAATTAATATTTTGAGTTAGCTTTTTTTATATTTTCATTTTAATGTAATTTTGTAATGTGGAAAATATTGATTGATTGCATTTTTTTAAATCAGTTTTAGGTTTAGTAATTTTACTACTTCAACCACAAATTATGTGTTTCTGTTTGTTGCCAAATCTTCAGTTATTTCAGATATAGAAAACCGTTATAATAGTTTTAGTTAACAACAACAACAACAACAGCACTGAACTGGGTGTCGTGAAAGTTAGTTTAAATAACACTTCTACATACTGTAGGTTCTTTTCTTTCTAAACCGCAGGGAAAGTCCTGTTTTGCATTGAAGGAGCACTTTGAGAGGGTTTTATGGTAATGTGGATTAGTTAATTGAGTTTGTGTTTCAGGCTGAGATCTCCTGCAGCAGATGAGGGAAGATGTTGGCCATGGATCAAGGCGTAGTGGAGGAGTGGCTGTCTGAGTTTAAGGTGCGTGGCCTCTCTCGTGAATCGTGATCATCTTCATGGTTTCTCGTGTGCTGACCGTGTTTTCTGCTGTGCTTCAGACTCTTCCAGACACAGCCGTCTCCAGCTACGCTGCCTCTCTGAAGGACAAGGGCTCTCTGGTTCCTGCGCTCTATAAAGTCATTCGGGAGAATTACAGCGACGTAAGATGATCTCTGTTCCTGACTCTTTGTTTCTCTCTCATTAGTTTGTGTTTTCATAACACACGCAAACGTGAGCACATCACCCCAATTCTTTATTCGCTCCACTGGCTTCCAGTTTCTTTTAGAGTTTAAAATTGTATTGTTTGTTTTTAAAGCTCTCAATTAGACTTGTGCCGGTATTCGGTAATGCGATATATCACGGCAATGAATATGCACGATATTGTTATCGTGGGCACTTCTAAATACCGTGAATGAATATATATTACAAATTATTCCGAATTTTGAATGCATATCTGGACTACAACATGCCCTAGATATTGTTTGAAAGTGTTTTGATTCTTTATTGTTCGGTCACGCTTTACATTAGGGCTTCATTAGTTAACATTAGTTAATTCATTGGTTAACATAAACTGCCAATGAAAAATTCTTCTGAACTTTCATTAATCTTAGGTATTCCAATATTTAATAACATGTTGTTAAAATCGAGAGTTGCAGCTGTGTTATTTAATGAGCTAACATGAACTAAGACTTGTATTTTTTTAAACAAAGATTAATAACTTCTGTAGTAAATGTAGCTATTGCTCATTGTGAATGTTAATGCATTAACTAAGGTTAACTAATGAGGTCTTATTGTAAAGTGATACCTATTGGTCTTTATAGTTCTTTTGCACTTTAATCTGTGTAAAACTTTTAACTTTATACATTTTTCTGTATTGCTTTATTGCATTTAAATGTTCAGTTATTTTTGTTGTAAGAAAAAAGTTATTAAACCTGTTATACTGTATTATGACAGCACTTTTTTTTAAACTTAATTTCAATATCGTGATAATACCGCATACCGTAATAAAAGCATTAGCAATTAATCGCAACATGAAAATTTGATACCGGCATATCCCTACTCTCAGTGGCCTTGCCCCACCTTATGTAACTGAGATGCTGGCTTTTCGTCAGCCAGACAGGGCTCTTAGGGCAACAAATCAACTTTTGCTGGAAGTCCCGAGGTCACGGTACAAACACTGGGGTGACCGGGCTTTTTCTGTAGCTGGGCCCAGACTCTGGAATAAGCTTCCTGCCGATATGCGCACCATTACTGACCTGGGCCTTTTTAAAGTTAAGCTTAAAACTCATTTATTTAGACTGGCTTTTAATATGTAGCAATTGTTGTGACATTTTTGTGTATTTTATGTATTATGGCTTTTATTTTTGTTTTTATTGGAAAGCACTTTGGTTCACCTTGAGTGTTGTAAAGGGCTGTATAAATAAATGTTGATTGATCTCAAAAGGACGATTTGGGCAACAAACAATTTTACTGAATTTGCGCAAGTGTATGAACACAGACATGAGCTTGACATTTTGCTCTTGTCTGCCAGCTCTTCGTTTTCAAATAGTTTCAAAGTTTTCAAGTAGTGCAAATGTGTTTTCTGATCTTATGATCAAACTCGGAGACGTCAGGATTAAAATAACCAGAATATCTATGTCTATTTCTGTCAGCGCGAGTTATTACAGTATGAGCTCGTTTCATCATCATAATCATGTGGTCTGTTGCCATGGCAGCATAACATCACAGTGATGAAGGATGAGGTGTTTTCTGTAGGACGGGTGTGTCTATATACCAGCGAAACCAATGACACAATCACACAAGAATCTCTTAAAGGGGTCATATGATGCGATTTCAAGTTTTGCTTTCTCTTTGGAGTGTTACAAGCTGATTGTGCATAGATAAGATCCCTGAAGTTGCAAAGACTAAAGTCTCAAAACCAAAGAGATATTCTTTATCAAAGTTAAGACTCTGCCACGCCCCCCTAAAACGGCTCGTTCTAACACGCCCCCACATATCTACCCCACTATGTGGAAATATTTGCATAATGCGCCGTACAGCATTTGAAAAATAATGTGTTTTTTGAACATTAAAGCATGTCAACATATTCTGTTACACCAAATACACAAAATAATGATCTTTAAAAAAAGCATCATATGACCCCTTTAACAACAAGCGTTTTACTGTAATCAGTCACATATTTCAGACTTCACAAATGTACTGATAAAGTCTGAAGCTCTTCCATTAGTAATGTGCTTAATGTCATTATCTTCACTCAGCAAATAGCACTCTAGTACTAGTATAACTAGTAGTACTAGTATATATAATACTAGTTAACATCAACTAAGTACTCGAGTGTTTCTGCTCCTTTTGCTTTTATTTTAATATGCACATGCAATGTTCACAAGAAATTGTGAAAAATAAATAAATATATATATATATATATATAAGTAATAATAATATGATTGTATTTAATTTTTTAATTTTAGCAGTAAATCTCTGTTTTGCAGCACTTTGTTTGCCAAAAATAAAATTAATTTAGTTTTCAGTTGAATACATTTTAAAAGGTTAATTCATTTAATGTTTTATGCCTAGTGGATTATTCAAAAATGAAAACTGAAAACACAGAGTTTGAGAGAAATTAAATGGAATTGGCATAAAAATAAAACGTATTTCATAGGGCCCTGAAAATGTAAACTGTGCTAATTGTTTTAATACATTGTTGTTAAATTGTATAGGTTTCATGATTCCAATTAATTTAAACCAGAAAATTTTTAATTGGAAAATTAAATAAATAAATAAAAGGAATAAAAAAATAGAATACAGAAAAATGTATACAAAAAATTGGAAACAATTAAAAGGCCCTAGTTTTATTAAAAATAATAAATTATTAAGTTATTATAGTTTTATGAATTCAATTGATTAGACATGCTTTATGATTCATTTTAAATTTTCATTTTAAACCGAAAACAGAATTCTGGAAAAAATAAAATTTTATTTAAAAAAAAATATTTCATAGGGCCCTGAAATGTAATTAAAAAATTAATTAATTAATTGTTATTAAATTGTAAAAGTTTCATGATTTCAATTAATTAGACATGCTTTTCTGATTACCCAAATTTAATTGAGCCATTAAAACAAAGTCCAGAAAAATTAAAATGGAAAAAAAATGGAATTAAGTAAAATGTGGGGAGGGGGGAATGGATGGGGGAATTTAGAAAAAAAAAAGATATAAAATAAAAAAAAATAAAAAAAAGTTTAAATGAAATGCTAAGGGCCCTCAGCATGCCTTGATGCCTTTCCAGTGTTTTGTGTTTGTTTTTAAGAAGCAAGCGACTCAAAACACATCTCAAAACCTGTTTTCTGTTCTGTTGAACATTTTAAAGCTGTTTTTAATAGGAAAAAAAAAAGCCTAGACATCCTGTAATCCAGTCTGCAAGGCACCACTGGGAAATCACATCATAACAAATCACAAAACTACAAACGAGAGCCGTGTTTGCATGTGGATCTGGCTGGATTGCAGTTGAAGAAGCCATGCAGTGATTGAGAGAGTCAGGAATCCAGACTGTGAGTCTCTTTGGCTCTGTGTAGAAGTGATACGCTGTTTGCTTTCTGAAAGGCGAGCTCTGTCGCAGCGCATCTCTGAAACCTGTCTTTCTCTCAGTCCTGCAGACGTCTCAACACGGACTGAAGGAGGCCAGCTTTACCGATCAGGGCCCGTATTCACAAAACATTTTATCTTCGCACTAAGAGTCCTCCTAAATAGCAGGAAAAGGTTTTAGCAAAGAGTTTTCACAGAGAATTACTTAAAAGTAATTATTATTAATTTGCAGGGCTTGTTTAGTTTGTTTTATGGAGAGCTTGTCTAAACAGGCCAGTAAGAGACCATTAACTACCACTCATCCTTTTAATTACACAAATTAAAATTAAAAATGTCTTCAAATTGATGAAACTGATCCGAGATCAAGTAAAAACCATAGACGGTGGTTCGCCGTTGGGGAACGGCAAACCATTGAAATTTCGAAATGTTTTGAACCGGTTATGACGTAACAAAGCCTCATTTATTGAAATCATGTGACTTTGGCAGTTTGATACGCTAAGGTGTTGCTATGCAGTTGCTAGGGTTCCTGGGGTGGTTGCTAGGGTGTTGCTATGCGGTTGCTAGGGTATTCTGGGCTGTTGCTAGGGTGTTGCTGTGTGGTTGCTAAGGTACCCGGGGTTGTTTGTTTGGGCGGTTGCTAGGGTACCCAGGATGGTTGCTATGGCGTTGCTAGGGTACCCAGACTGGTTGCTAGGGTGTTGCTATGCGGTTGCTAGGGTACCTGGGATGGTTGCTAGGGTGTTGATATGTGGTTGCTAGGGCACCCAGGGCCGTTGCTAGGGTGTTGCTATGTGGTTACTAGGGTAATCGGAGTGGTTGCTAGGGTGTTGCTATGTGGTTGCTAGGGTACCCAGGGCCATTGCTAGGGTGTTGCTATGCAGTTGCTAGGGTAATCAGGGTGGTTGGCAAGGCAACACCTTAGCAACCACCTAGAACACCCTAGCAATGACCTAGCAACCGCCCAGAACACCCTAACAACTGCCTAGCAGTACCCTGGAAACCACTCATGCCAACCTAGCAACTGAATAGATAGTCTCAAGCAACCGACTGCCGAGTTTTGCCATGGCAAGCACCACTCACTTTTTCTTCAGAAAATGTACATATATAGTTTGATATGCGCTCCGAATCACTGTTTAGAAACAAATGATTCACAAAAGTTTCGAAGCTTCACGAAGCAGTGCTTCAAAAGCGGCCATTACTAATATGAAAAATAATGCGATCGTCAATACGAACCGCATATAAATGAAAACGGCAGATGTAGTATTTGATAAAAATTTGATTTTCTCAGCTTTTTGCTCACAATGTTGCTTTTTTATGAAACCTACCTACATTCAAGTGTTGATAAAAAAAACAATGCTTGAAGCTAAAATAAAACAATTTTTTTTGTTTGAAAGTAGAGGGTCTGATCTTTATATTGATGTATTGCATGTTCAGATATTCATACAACTAAATATTCTGGGGGCCATGACATTTTAGTGAAAATCAGCAAAAACGCTGGCGGGGAAAGAGTTAAAAACAGCATGAAATTATGACACTTTTTAATAAATGTTCCTGGTCTTATTTTGCAACAGAAAAAGACTGTTTGTTTAAAATCTTTCATCAGAATCTAATAACCTTCAGCACATGAAGTGAGGTAATCAAGGCTGTTGTAATATGATATGAAATATTAACCAATAATATCATAAACCGATCAAATCCCTGTAGATAAAATCAAGTTATCTACAGTTATCTTTATCAAGCTGAATGCAAGTATCATTTGGTGTTGAATTAAACCTGTCAACTATCTGCCTTATTGTTTTGTAAAGCTATTTAATGTCAGTCAGTATTAAACTGGTTTGACCTGATATTCCCAAACGGTTTTTGTCAGCCGAACACCTTTGACCTAAAATATTTACTTGCAGTATCGCTGAGATATAAGTTAATATGTCAATAATGTAACAATACATTTGCATGTTTACAATTCTGTGATAGCACATGCAGATAAATAAAGTGATTTTTTTTTTTTAGTAATTGTTTAATTTTGATATGTTTTTGAGGTGCAGATTTTTTGGTAATTTTTATATGTAGTTTTATATAATATAATGTATATATATTCAGTAATATAAAGAGTTTTTATTTTTAAATTATTTATTGTAATTTTTGTGATTTATTGATTTATTTTTATTTTTTAACATTTTCTCGCATACCCCAGTTTGAGAATTAGCCCTGGTTTAGTGATTTCTTTAATTTAAATTTAAGTATTTAAATATATAATTAAAAAAGATTTGATTTATTTATTTTACATTTTAGACATTTTATATAAAATAAAATAATTTAAGTATTTAAATGTATATAATAAAAAATATATATTTAATCTTTTTTACATTTTAGGGGAAAAGATTTTGTAATTTGTAAATCTGTTTTAGATACTTTTTAAAATAAATCAAATTTAAGTATTTAAATTGATAATATCTTATTTTACTTTTTTATTTTAGGGGAAATGTTTGTGTAATTTGTAATTTTAAATATAAAATACAATTATATTTAATTGTATAAATAATTATAATAATAATTATAAAATTATATATTATAATTATATAATTTTGTGTGTGTGTATATATCTATATGTGTGTATGTGTGTGTGTGTGTGTGTGTATATATATATATATATATGCAGGTGCATCTAAAAAAATTAGAATATTGTGAAAAAGTTAAATTTTTTTGGTAACATTTCAAAAAGTGAAACTTTCATATATTCTAGATTCATTA